TATATATATATATATATTTAGGCAGTTGCAGGTGAAATAAAATTTATTTCTAATAAATGAAATTTTTTTGCAGAAAAACTTTCCAGCTTTACATGGCTATTGTATGTTGTGCAGCTACATTATTGACATGCATTCATCCTGTGTTAAATGCTTTTGCTTTGATGGGTCTTGGTGTTCCTGCGACTGCTTTATTGGTTATTGAGATTCGGAGGTATTATAGTAGCTTATAAATACAATTAAATTATAATTAATTACAGTGGTGTTTTTATAAATAAGTCAAATTGTTAATTAAATGTATAGTGTATGCTTCTTTTTTAATGTGCTATTTTGTTTAAATGTGCTGATAAGTGTACTATTAGTTTCTGAATAACTGTTCCCCTACAAAAGCAACTAACCTAAAGTTTAAAACAAAAAAAAAATTTAAACTATTGTGAAAAAATAACACTTAGTTTCAAATTGAGATACTACATCAAACGCCACAAGCAAATGTATATGATTTTAAAATAAATTTTAAAAAATATCTTTTAATTACAATTTGATAGTTTTTTTTAATAAATTTTCCCATATGAAAAATCTGGATACATTTCCTTACCAACTTACTTTTACTTTTGATATTTCTTTATTTTGTCCCCTTAATTTAAGAAAAGATATATGCTCAAACCATTCATTTTTAATACTGTGGAATTAGCATTAAAACTTATTTGTTAGTATACTCACCTTCATTTAAAAAATGTATACAGTGCTAATATTCATTAGGTTTGTTTGAAAGTTGAACCTTGAATTGTGTAATGTTAAATCATTTTCAATGTGTACTTAGTTATTGTGAAGCATTTTGTACTGCATTCTAAATTGAATTATTTTTATGTATTTATACTTTCAATGTAAATAGAAAAGCAGTTGTATATAAATTAAAGGTTTAAACCTTAATTTACCTTAACTTGTTTTGTTTGTAGATTTGTCTCGTGATATAATTATTTTATTATAGATTTTAATACTATTGCACATTGTAGATTGTATTTCTATACTTCGCAGAGTATATTTGTGTTTTTGTACAAAAACAATACATGTCAATGGCTTATAATGTTTGTAAAATCAAGGGTCTCTCCAGACATTTTGTGAAAGGTCCTGTTTTTATAAAATTGTGGAAAAATTACTCGTAATTTGTGAATATAAAATAATCATTCAGTCACATTCTTTCAACCAGGATCCTGCTTTTATGAATTTGTGCAAATAGGGTCCGGTTATTTCAAAAAGCTTTTTCAAGGAGTTTTTAAATTGTAAATAGATGCAAGATTGTGCTCGGCACTGTAAAATTTTAATTAAAAAAAATTTAATTGTCAGAAATAAACATCAATTGTTGCTTCTAAATTAGAGATGCAACATACAAATATTTAGTATTTAACCTATACTCCTGAATGCAGAATATTCATTTTGGGCGAATAATGAATGGAAGAAGCGTCAGCCGAAAACAAAACTTAATTCATTTACGTCCATCTTTCTGTTTGTTTGTTTTTTTGTTGTTTTTTTTTAATCAAAATATTATCCTTAGATGTACAATATGTACAAATATTATTCTTAGGTGTACAATATAAAGATTCAATACTATACCTATGCATACAAAGTAAAAAAGTATGAAATTCTTCCTTGATACTTGATATACTTCCTTGAAATTTAAACTTTTCACTTTTACTCTAGTAATATCAGTTCAATTTAATTTAATTAAATTTTGAATTATTTTAATCAACAGAATATTCTATGATTTTCTACATTAAGTTTTTTATTAAATCTAAATTTTTGCTTCTTACCAAACTATTATGTATAAATGTGTAACTTTAATTTTCATACAGAATATGCTAAGGCAATGTGCTTTATGTTTTGTTCAAAGTTATTTTGCAATCTTGGTAACAATCTCGTTTATTTAATAATTTGTGTTTAATTTGTTATTATTGTCAACTTCAGCTTGTGATATGTTCAAAATTCAAATCTAATAATAAATTTTTCTAATACAGATGTAATAATCCCAGAGTTGTCAAACTAGGATATCGATGTGCTTTACTTTGGTTGGCTGCATTGGTGTGTTGGATAAACGACCGTTTGTTTTGTGAAGTTTGGTCCAAGTTAAATTTCCCATATTTGCATGGTGCCTGGCACATACTGATTGCTATTACGTCTTACAGTGCTTGTGTGTTGTTTGCATATTTTGATGCTTGGGATACAGTACCAGAGCAGTTACCAGCAATGAAATTTTGGCCATCAGATAGGTAAGTTATAAAACAATTCTTTAAGTTATTAATATTCCTATGAAAAATTAAATCTATACTTTTAAACATGTACTCCAAAGCATTAGCACCTTTCTCATCTTGAATTTTATCAACACCAATTACTATAATAAAAAACCTACCATCTATGCATTTTGTGATAATGTGAATTTGACTGTTATTCTTCGAAAATTATTGTAGTATATTCTTCAAACTTTTAGATAGAACTCACATTTGTGTATCTAAATTATGGATTTAATTTCAGCTATGCATTATTATATTAGTAAAAACAGTCTGCCTTTCATAATTAATTTGTTTAATTACTTTGAGTCGTTAAATGCTAGCTAATGTTAGCAACTAACAATAGTCTGCAAGTTTTATAAAGTAATAAAATATTTTATTTATTAGTGATGCTGCCAAAAGGGTGCCATTATAGTTAAAATCAGTCGTGATTTTTTTTTATTTTTTCTCAATTCATTAGGGGTTTTTTTTTTTGACCCATTAAAAAAAAAACTAATATGAAGGCAAAAGCTTATGCATGTGTGAACTCATCAGTAACTAAAAAGAGGCTGACCAATTTACATAACTGTGTTTTTTCATTAAAATTAATTGAATTTCATACTTGGTTAAAACCCAACTTAGTAAAGGGTATATTGTTGAGATGTATCAAAATTTAATATCTATTTTTAGAATTGTTCATTTATAAGTAATTGATATGATATATTCAAAAATTTTGATTAATATCTGTAAATATTTTTTTTTCATATCTCTTGAATCAATGATTTTTTTTTTTCTTGCTATTGTAAAGTTAGTAGATTTATTCAGTATTATCAACGTGCAACATTCAATTCTTCCCTATAAACAAACTCAACCCTTCAGGCTTTTGTACTACCACTGGCTGCCGTAAATTGGCTGAATCCATGGTGCATATCAGAAGAATAGAAATTGCGCACAACTTGCCACTCTGTGATTCCTAAATTAGTATGATAGATTAAGTACAAATTTTCAGGCAGTTGTTCTAAAATATCAAGGAAATTGCATTTATAACCTTGCCAGATACTTAGTTGTAAGGTCTTAAGTTATCCATGAAAGAAATATCCGTTTTACTTTCAAAATAGCATGAAAACATGAAATGAATTTTCAGTTTTAAATGCCTTTTATAGCTGTGCTATTGTTCTCCATTAAAAGATCTTATTATAAAATGAAATATATTCGACCATTAGTTTAATGTTATTTGTTAAGTATTGATTTATTGGAATACTGAATGCAAACTAATGTCTCATTAAATATGCTATTTACAATATCCATATTTTTTCTCTTTTTTTGACATTTTTCTCTCTTGTTTCTAAATTTTATTTTATCAATTTTCCAAATTTTTGCTTTATCTTTAACAAAGTTGAAAAATAGCCAAACTTCAAAAAAATTTCTATCATTTTTAAAATTTAAATACTGATCAAAATCTATCTAAAACTACAGATTGCTAAAGATGATAAGGTCTCAACAATTTGTATATCTAAATGTGGTTTAATAGGGGTTATTCACTAATAATTTTTTGTAAAGTTATATGTTTTGTCAATTGGGTTTGGTTTGGGATTTCTGTAGTAAGTTTTCCCATCTCTGCCTTTCATGTTTATATTAATAGTTTAATTTTTATATTGTAATTTAATCTTAAAAAAATAATTAGAGTTATGAATGGGTAATTGAACATTTTTCACGTTTTATTTTATCTGAAGTGTTCAACCATCAATAAATTATTCTCTTGTTAAAAGCTTTAAAAAAAATTATGTTTTTTACCCCATTAAGCAATGTTCAAACCTTTGTTATTTATTAAATTTTCTGCATACAAAATATGGTTTATTAAATTATTATTTTGCATAATTTTCTCTTCATTTTCTTCTTTTTTTAAAAAATCTTATTTTCCTTATTTAGAAAGTCCTAACTTTTGTTGTATGTATGCCATAAAAATATTTCAGAATTATATAGTTTAAAACAGAAGCTTAGGGCCAGATCTTTTTAAAAAATTTTAATAAACTGAAGATTATAGTTACTTACATTTTATGAATATGATTATGCTTTAAAGATTGGTTTATAGTACATAATACATGCAAATGTGTAATGCACATTAATGGAGAAAGAAATGCATTATAATTTAAAATTGAGAAACAGTCTAATAAACAAATCAAAGAATTTATTTCACTTTTATTTGTCTACTTTTTAATGTTTGAAATAAGAAAAATAATCTTTCTTTTATCATAGGTTTACAAATAATTTTATATAGAATAACTTCACTAGCCCATTTATCTGAAAGAAGAAGAAAAAAAATGTCTTCCTTTAAGAAAAGGCAATCTTTAAGATACAGACATATATTTGCTATATTGAAATTAGTTGTGGTTTTGTATAATGTGTTTTAAAACTAAGGATAGGTGGTTAATTTCACTAATTGAAATTCATTTAACATACCGATACATTTTAAAATCATAAAAATCATTTTTTTTTTTTTTTAAAGAGTAACTCAATAATTTAATCCAACAAACTCTGCTTGTGACATAAGAAAAAGTGCAATAAAAATGTATCTTTATTTAATTCTGGTTTAAAATTCATTATTTATTTTAATGACATTATCAACAAAAAAAAACTGAAATCTTATTTTCCTAGATATTTAATTGCGTTTTTCTGTTTCAGATTTGAGCTGGGAGTCCCGTACATAATCCTGCGCAGAGTACACAAAGACCACCAAAAGATCTGATTGAACATTGTTTCCTAACCCTTAGTCTTCCACTATCCTTATGTATTATAATATTTATTTCAATACCAGCCTCAATTTTAGTATTACATAAAAAGACTGTATAGCATTTAATGATTCAATTCTGTGAGAGCTTGACTGTTAGTGTTAGGTAGAAATCTCAAGATATGTTATCATCTGGTATGGTACAGATAAATCAATAAGCTGACTGGTGCAGCTGTGTATTTTTATTCCCATTTGCTACCTGACTGTGAATAAAATATATTTATATGTGGCTTTCATTAATGTATTAACCTCACGTTTTTTAGTTATAACTATTTTTTTATATATATAATACCTGTGATTTATAACTTGTTTTTTAGGTGTTTGTATGTTACCGCTAAAGCGTCCAAAAGCCGTTATCTAACTAACCTGCAGGTATTGATTTGGTCCGTTGAAATACCAAATCACGAATTTTTCCCACCTTTCCTTGGAAATAAGCACATTAAGGGCTTCAATATTTAACAGTTTGTTTTGATCATTCTGTCAACTAATTTCTTAATTGTCTTGACTTAATTCTTTAGAAATTGAAAATTAAATGACATTGTTAATTTTCTTAATTGGAATAATACTTTAAACTGTGTGATTCTTGGTATTTTTAAAGTAATTGATGATTGATTCTATCAACTAGTTGTTTATCTGTTGTAGTTTGATTTTTTTTTAAAAAAAGCAAAAAATAAATGCATAGCATTGTGTTTATTTAAGCATACATGCTGTTTATTAAGCATACAAAGATTTTATTTTCACTTTAGTACTGCTTAATAAGTTATGAGCCAATTATGCTGCCCACCTTACCTAGGAAATAAGCACGTTAAGGGCTTCAGTATTTAAAAGTTTGTTTCTATCATTCTGTCAACTAATTTCTTGATTGTCTTGACTTAATTCTTTAGAAATTGAAAATTAAATGACATTGTTAATTTTCTTAATTGGAATAATACTTTAAACTGTGTGATTCTTGGTATTTTTAAAGTGATTATTGATTTGATCAACTAGTTGTTTAACTGTTATATTTGAATTTTTTTTTTTTTTTTAGATAATGAGAAATAAATACATAATGTTATGTTTATTTAAGCATACATGCTGCTTATTAAGCATGTAAAAATTTTATTTTCACTTTAGTGAGTGCTTAATAGGTTATGTGAGTGCTTAATAGGTTATGTGTCAATAGGTTATGTGCTAATTTGAAAAATAAAAAATTTTTGGTACTTTAATGAGTCACCTTAGTTATCTGCACATTAGTTAGGTAATTTGTAGAATAACTAATTTCTAAACTTTAGTGGTAACATTTCACCTTTTGCTTTATAACAAGCAGCTTTCTTCTTATAGATAGATGCCTGCTTGTGTTTTTTTTTTTAGCGTTATTCTATCTTATTATTAATTAAGTTGGGGGAAATTTTATGCCAAAAGTTTAATAAATATTAAATTGTGTATGATGAGGCAAGCTCCCTGACCCAGAGCCAATGGAGCACTTAGTCAAATTGCCAAAAAGTTGAAATTTACTTTAGCTTGTTAAAATACTAGAGAGTGGAGGTATTTCTCCATTTGCTCTCTTTATATTAACAAATCGTTAAAAGTTAAATAAAAAAAAATTAACTTTTTGATGAACTTTTATTTGTAATAAAAAAATATTACATAATACTGCACCAGTTGTATATTTTATTACAACTTTTTCTTAAAAATTAAATTTGTAAGAAATATGGAATAAAAATTAAGAATCTGCAATTTAAGTAGATTGGTTTGTTCTGATCAGTAAGAATGGGCCACAATTTTCTAAACCAGAATTGACTGTTATAATCTATAAGTTTTTAATGTGTACTACTATAGATAATTTTTTACATAATTATTTTATGTGTTTGTAAACAACATTTCTAGAAAAAAGTATTATGATGTCATATAGAAATTATGATCTGTATTGCTTGATAAGTTCTTAATCCATCTAATGTTTAAAGTTGAAAAGATTCATAGCTTGCTCCCCTGAATCGTTATTATAAAACCTTTTATTATTGCTAACTATTGATGTTGAATCAAAAGATAACTTTTAGTGAGTCTTGTAGCTTACTATTAGATTTTTAAAAAAATTAACTATACGAACTGAAATCTACTGCCTAAATTGTTAAAAGGTTTCTTCTAGAGAATTTGAAAAATTTGTTTGTTAAAATATAAGTAAAAAAATTAAGTTTTTTAATCAGTGTGTTATTGAATAATTATTTTGGTATTACAGTTTATCTGTTTAAAGAAGAGGCAATTATGAATCATTGCCAGTTTCCTTGCTTGATAAAATTTGACTTTGACAATTTAACCCTTTTATGTACCAAAAAAGTATTAGATATTTAACTTTCATTTAAACTTATAATGTGCTGGTAGTCCCAAATTAAAAATTTCATGAAAAATTTGAATATAATATTGAAAAAATATTTGTGAAAGTGTAAAATGGGCAAATGGAACAAATTAATGGGACAAAAAATTATATGGAACATATTTAATGGAACAAAAAAGTTCTGCACATTTTTTATTATGTTTTAATAGTTTGGTAAGTAAAATGTTAAATCAAATAACTTATAAAGGAATCATCTTTTTTCTTATTTTAAGACATAAATTATGTTATTAATTCACCTCAATTTGCAAGTTGTTGCAGTTTCTTTCTGCAATACTTTCAATACAGAAGAAACCAAACCTTTGCGCTGTAACATTAAATGTTACAGCACAATTTGCTAAGAACAATAAATATGATAAGTAATTTTTTTTATTCAATTTATTGCTGTTTAGTTCTTTTTTAATTTAAACTCGAAAATATATATCTATTCGTAAATTGACCCCAAAGCCACTTACTTTATTGCGAGAGATTCAAAAATATTTTTTACCATAAATAAGAGTTCTTATGAATTTGTGATTTCCCCCTTTTTTTATTCTTTTTTTTTNTTCCTTTTTTTTTTTTTTTTTTTTTTTTTTTTTTGTAATAAGCACCCTTTTTTATTCTACAATTAATGCATCCAAAATAAAAATTTGAAATGCACTTTTAAAATATTTTTTTTTTGTCTTCTTGATTTAACTAAGAACTAATATTATAAAATCTGTGATGTGTTTTTTTTTTTCTGTTCATTCTTTGCTTATGTGAATAAAATATATTTATATCTTGCTTTCAATATTTCTCTTATTTTATTTTATACATTTATTTTTATTTTTCTATTCACAAGATGTTAACCAGAAAGTTTTTTTAAAAAGAATATTAAAAAAATGTATTTGAGATAATGCAGTTGACAAAACAAAATATTCAAATTATGTACCATCAAAACAAAGTAATGATATTAAACCTCTTCTTAAATATTTTTATGAATGTCTTATAGTAATGTTGTCTTAATTTTTGACATCCAGAGTAAAATATTGCTTTTCTGATAAGTAATGGTCAGTAAAAATTTCTTTTAATTATTCAAAATAAGGAAATTTAAATAATATAATTTTTGAAGAGGCGCATTGGCCAACAACAGTATTGTTCAAATTAGATTTAGGCCTCTCTTCCCTGTACTCTGTGCAAGAATTGAACATACTAAATTAAAATAATTTGATATTTTAGCAAAGGCAAGATTTATGGTATGTATGCCAACTTCCTTTTAGCTTCCCCAGGGACATCAGAGAATTCCCCTTTTCCAAGTCAATATGGTAGTAATCACCATATGTTCCTAATTGTATTTTTTTTTTTTTTTTTTTTTTTTTTACTTTTTTTTTTTTTTTTTTTTTTTTTTTTTTTTTTTTTTTTTTTTTTTTTTTTTTTTTTNTGGCATTGATTCCACAAGGTGCTGATAGGTAGTCTGAGGTATCTGGTACCAAGCGCTCACCAACTGGTCCTGCAATTCCTTCACATTGTGAGGCGGTAGCGTGGCAGCACGAATTTGGTTTTCCAAGTAGGACCACAAATGTTCTATTAGATTAAGGTCAGGTGAATTAGGGGGTCAAGACATGACTTGAAAGTCACTGGAATGTTCCTCGAACTAATCCATGACGATTCGACCCTTATGACATGGCGCATTATCCTGTTGGTAAACACCATCCCCCGCAGGAAAAACTGTTGCCATGAATGGGTGAACCTGGTCTGCAACTATGTTCTAGTAGTTTACAGACGTCAGGGATTGTTCTATGAGGATTATAGGTCCTAATGTGCCCCATGAAAACATTGTTCCTTGACGAGAAAACTTGGGTGAGCCTATTGTTATAGATGGAGGGTGGTCATAATGTAATGGCTCTTCGGTGTATTGTAATCCAGAATTGTACTTTAAGAACAGTCAAATACTTTTAACTACTGAGCAAGAAAAACCCTGTACAAAATATTAAATGAGCTGGCCATCTAACTTGCTGTAAATTAGAATTTCTTAAAATTTGCGTGTAAAAGATTTTTTAATGTTTACTTGTTAACATTGTCAGACAAAAAACATTTTTATTATTTTGTAGTTTATATGAGAAAAATTTACTTGTTAATATGTACTGATAACCTTAAATTATGAAAGATTAAATTGTTAAAAATAACTTTATAGTATAACCTTATATTAAATTGGAAACGGTTTTTTTCTCTGTTGTGTTTCCTACATTTTTAAAAATTTTGAAATAAATAAAGTGGAAGAAGCTGGTAAGTGACAATTTCTGGAACATAATATAAAGTGCTCGCATGACTATAATTATGTTTATAACAAAATTTTTTTGTTTTCACTTCAATTCTAAAATAACTAACCCGTATTAGTTTTAAGTATGCATGATTTTTTATTTCAAATTGGGTAGTAATAAATAAAATCAAGCTAAGGATTACTAGCTCCGCCTACTAAAATATCTATAATGAAATATGTCGGATACACTTTTTTCTTCGTATCCTGATTATAGACACTCTTAAAACATAACTTACTTGGTTCTTCCATTTAACTCTTTAAACGTTCAGATTTATATGCGACAACATCTAATTTCTTCCTCTATTTTTATTTTATTCCATCAAGTCAAGCTGGAGTTTTTGAAATGTAGATCTTGAGAAAAAGAAATTATATTTTTCAACAACAATGGATAAATATATATATATACAGGGGAAAACAGCATTTTCTTTGCAAGAGTTTTCGAGAAAATTAGAATTTATTAAAATCTTTTATTAAGTTCATAAATGAAAATGGCTCTTTTTAATAAATCCGATTTCAACTCTGTAGATGCGTTTCAGCGGGTAGTATATCAGAACATATGGTTGAAATTTCCAAGTCTTATAGTTGTTCCGCAGCAAAACAAAATTGTTAGTTGAATGCGAACTTGAACACTCAAATAACGGCGAAGGCCCTTAAGATTTTTAATTGAGAAATAATATTTTCGACAACCAAGTAATATTATCAAATGCTTTATTAAATAAGACAGTTTGATGTTTAATAATTGACAATTAAAAAATAACGCCAGTTTACTCTTACTGAATGGAATTGAATTGGACGGATAAAGGCCTCACTATCTTCAATAGAGCTTAAATCCTGCTCAGATTGTTAAAAAACTTTACCTGACCATGCTGAAATCTAAAGTATTGTTGTTTAGAAAGAATAAATTGTCCAATCGCATCAGTGTTCTTTTAACCTTTCCGTCATTATCAAAAAGAAAAGAAACTTACTGCTATCAGCACCGCGCTTTTAAAATGATTTCGTTTCGAACACTCTTGCCTTTCATAACTCAAAAATATACATGACATTGTGTACACATAACATAAGAAATGAAATTTTACATATCTTTCAGAGAAATGATAAGAAATTTTCTAAAATAAAAGTGATATTGATGCCGATTTTAGTTTCTGAATTATTTAAGTATTTTTTGTTTTTTTTAGCTGTGTATTTCAGCGATAACTATTCTCAGGAATTTTTTTTTTTTTGCAGCCACTTATGCGTGCGTCTAAACATCAACATTGCATCTCACTTGGATTGAATTTCGTGTTAGTTTTTGAGTAATTAAATGTTTTTTAAAGTAAAATAGCCAAACAGTATATTTTAATCAATACCTCTGGGGGTACTGATCCAGGAGTTTCCTTGTCTTCTGGATTGGTTCAAAATTACAAGGCTACGGAGTTGAACGTAAGTAGTCGTAAACCCATGAAATTGGGTCGGCTGTTCAACGACAGTTATAAAAACTTATATAAAAACAGTATATTTTAATTTCAAAAAAATGAATTATTTTAATTAGAGGGCTCAACGTTAGTATTTATATAAACTAATCTATAGAGATTTTTGAAATTCACCCTTTCTTTCTCTTTTCTGTTCTTCAATGAATTTCTGTGTTAATGAGAGAGTGTAATTATAGCAGTTTGAAATGAAAACTCAAACCACATTAGCGAAATTAGCCAAAACTTTATGAATATTTAATATATAAGTTTTAAATTTGCGTGTCTGGAACGATATCAATCCTCTAAAGCAAGTCGTAGCTTCTTATATTACAGCATTACTTGAAATTTAGAATGAAGGAATTTCAAGTATGAATTCGCTCTTTCAGATCGTAAAGCAATTTGAAAAGAATTGAGCAAAATCAGTTCCAGAGGTTTGACCCACACCCTAACAGTATATCATTAATTGATCATGTAAGAAATTTAGGTACAAATGATAAACGGGGTGTTTGATTATAATGAACTGAGTAAACGAAACGATCAGAAAAGAATTACGCAACCAGTTCAGGGGTTCGGCAAACAACATCGAGCAGAGGATTGAAAATCCTAGTACAGTCGGACCTCTATTTAACGAACTTCCATTTTGCGAATTTTTTCAAGGAACCAAGAACATTTTGGAAATTTCTTCGTAAAATAACTTCCAAATTTTGGTAAAGGAATTTTCTATTCACTTACCAATATAATTTCCGAAGTGAATTTTCTATTTAACGAACTTTTTTTCGAGATCTACTTTCCCTATTTCCCAAAATATTTCAGAACGTTTCAAACTTGTTAACGTATTTAATGGGGGAAATGATCTCGAATTGATTTTCGAAGCCATTTCACTTTTAGAAAAGCAGTAAAATCCTTTTCCCTTTCTGTTTGCATTTCAAACAAAAAACTCAGACAGAATTAACGGGTCTCATCAGTAGTCATTAAACTTAAGAACGCACGTTGTAATGTATGTTTAAAATTACTTTGCAATTAAAATTTTATATAGCGAATAAATGCAGCTATAATTTTATACATAAATTCATCTTTTTTTAGTTGAAAATGTTATAGCATGGCTGTGTAACACAGGATAATGTTTTGCTCTATTCTTACTTTCCAAGCAGATTTCTTTTATGGCTAAGATTTATAAAATAAATAGTAGATTGATTGATTGAATGTAGGGTTTAGTGACACAAGATCCAAATGAGGACATTCTGCGCCAAACAGTACGGTAAAATAAATAAATAGTAGATACTAGTTTACAAGATAAAGGTGTATCGATTGCTATTTTAATTATGTCTAGTGTTTATGAATTTAAAACCTGCTTTGTGTCGTTTAAGTATTTCAAAAGGTGATTTTCTATTTAACGAATTTTCCATATTACGAACTTATTATCGGGATTTAGCGACTTTGTTAAATAGAGGTCGGACTATATATTTAAATAAAGTTTAGAAGAAATTGAGGCATGAAAACTATTGGATAAAATGAAGGCGAAGCGAATAAGTGAAGCGAGCTGAAATCCTGAAGCGACGTTAAAAACCGATAAGCAGTACGGTGGTTAGTGAACGATTACGAACAAAAAAAGTACAAACTGAATACTATATGGATTATTAAAAGCAATCTATACGGTATTTTAGAATCAATCTGACCTCAGAAATTAATACCTTTTCATATTTCTGTACTTTTCTGAACAATGTAAGTTCCACGCTCTCGACGAGTTACCTATATGCGTAAAAGATAAGTCCTTATCCATTCTGATAAGGTAATCACAAATTTTGAAGCTACTTCAGAGACCTTCTGTTTCGCTATATGAAGTTGTTTCAATAAAATGTCAATAGGTTTATTTTGAAGTAAATGAACCAAACGGTTTCTTTTTTTACCAGTTAATATGTATTGGTAAATGAAAACTATTTCAACTGATAAAATGGCTCTGTTGAAGCCATTTATTTATGATACTTCCCCAGTGTCGGATTTTAATGTTAGCAACTGGAATTTCGCAAATTTCACCACACTGTGGATTAAACTGCCTACCCATGAAATTGCTCTGAAAGTTCTAGCACTTCTACCTATCATGTTTTTAGGAGTTTTTGGAAATGTAGCTATCCTTGTTGTTATGATGCGAATTAAGGTATGTCTTGGTTTACAATGTATTTTTATATTTTTTTCGCTGTTCATTAGGTTGTTATAAAATTAATAACAATTTGATAATATTTATTAAATAATGAAAAAGTAAAACATCCGCGCTACAGCTTGTTGTGAACTAGGGGAATCATGGAAGTTAAAGTTCCACAATTTAGTGTCCAACGACATGATTGTGGTAATGTTTTCAGCATTGCGCACAGGCCGCCTTTACTTCTCAGACAAGTTGGTACCCATCGATCTCAAGCTAGGTGGACTTCAAGCCGCACTGGGGGGTCGAACCCCTGTTCTTCATAACGATATTTCAGTGCCTTAACCACTGACCCATTGCGGCTTTATGAATAATAAACAATTTAAAATGCCTTTTTTCCAAATTTAAAATAATAAAATATGTATTATGATTATTAATTGTGATTTTAGATGATCTAGTAAAGCATGCTAGTACAATTCAGATTTAATAAAAAAGGTTAACATAAATCCGAAATCGGTTATATCATGATAGCTAAGCAGTGAACATGAAATGTTATGTGCCTTTTTATTCATGTGTTATGTTATTTTGAAATATATACTGTTAGTAATATCCTAAAAACTAATACTTATTAATTTTAATTGCCTAATTGTTCAGCATGATTCTTCGGTACAACACGATTCGTGTTGAACCGAAGAAAGTGAAAGGCATTCCGTTTCCTCATCTGTGTTGCACAGTAACTACCTTTCGCGTTATACAAACGGTAGTCACTGTGCAACACAGTTGAGGAAACGGAATGCCTTTCACTTGAGTCATTACCCTGTACTCAATACTTGATCTCATCGGGAGAGATATTGGGAGGCTAGACGCAAATTAGATTCTACGGACTGTACTGTAGGCTGACTTTATTTCCTTTGTTCGCTGCCATTTTGTTACTGCTTTTACAGTTTTTCCCATGTCATGTCTACAGTTGTCTTTGTAATCTGCCACTAGAAATAAGAAGGAAAAAAATATGAATAGTTAGAGAATTCGATTAAGCAGCCAATTATGTTCGATTAAGACCTTATTAAGCAGCAAATTTATACTATATAAAATCAGTTATTGAATATATATTTGGGTGTGACGTATGGGTGTGGCAGAAACCTACTTCTTGGCCATGGATGATGCCCCTGGAAAACAAAAGCAATCGCACCCCTTACCTTAATGGCCTGCGACAAGAACAATAATAAACTTATACTAATAAAAGATGGCATGTTTAACAAAAAAGTGTCCCAAAACTTTGCGGTGGTTTGAAAATGGAATTAAAGGGAAAAGTATCTACAAAACTATTAAAAAATGCGTTTTGCTATCCGTCAGACCATTATAACTAAAAATATGTGCACTTAAGTTTGTTAAATTTTTCTTCACACAACACCACGTTGTTTCTACAATTAGTAATTATTTTCAAGACATTCTTTTATAGTTTTCTCATTGAGAAGTATCATTTTTTTACTAATTTTGCAACTTAGTGAGAACAAATCACTAGTTTCCTGAGCAGAACATAGAAAAATATACATATTCCCTTGCTAGTTGCCTAAGCAAAACGCAGCAAAGCATTCATATCTACCTCCCTTCGCTTTTCGCCAATTGATGTATTAAATTGTCGTATTTAATTATATTTTTAGGGCATGAGGACGTGTACTAATATTTTCATTTGTAACATGGCGCTAGCTGATCTAATGACGATTCTATTCTGTTCATGGACTATCATCGTTGTTGATGCTTATCAAAACTTTGTCCTCGGTGAAGTATATTGCAAACTCGATGGATTCTTCCATGGTAAGAAGAAAGTTTTTAAGCTAAAATAAATCTTAAAAACCAAGATAAAACTTTAGTTGACTTTCAGTTAGTGATTTTTAGTTTTTAACTTTACAAATCAACAAGTGATTTGTTATTTTAGTTTTTAGCTTTACAAAATGTAAAACATATAAAAGAATTACGGTCGACTACTGTTTTTCAAAAGGGCAGCTCTTATGAGGCGATTTTGCATTTTACTGTATCGTGTGCAAACATAGAATAAATTCCGACATTCAATTCAGCAATATTTTGACGCACACCATGCATAGAGCAGAAAGCATCATTACCAATATTGATTCATAATCATAACATATGGTTGACATATGATAAGTCATTGGCACATAAAACATATTGATACACAAGATAAGTTGGCAACTTCGTGGCTAACTACAGACGTTNATTGTCCTTATCGCCAACTGGCGACGTAAGTTTGCCACATTTCGGCGTTTAGCTTGAAATCGGCTCAAACGCAGCAGCCGCTGCACAATCAAGAGCCATAATATGTTATAAAAAGGGTTATTTAAACATAGGCTGGTGGTTATAACAGTTCACATCCCCACTCCACAAAGGAGGGGGTGTGGACGAAACTGCGGATGGTTCTGGCAGATGTTTATTGGAACATGTTATTCAGCAAGGGACATGCGAAAACCATCGGTCCCGCATTAAATACTACAGAGAATGATTTAATTAGGTTCCAGTCGTACATACCTTTGTAACTCTACGTATTATGGAAAATCATTTAATGCTTCCTAATATGGAAGTGAAAGAGGAACAAGATTCTAAAAATAACTCCTCCTTTGAAATATAAATCTAATTATTATTCAATGGTATGTTTTCAGCCTTGAATTCCCAAAATAGAATATCTCTACGCTTACTCTTTAAGAGAGACATTTTATGAAGCCGAAAGAGTTTTAATTCTTTTATTAATACAAAAGTATTTATTTTTAACTCCGTAGCCTTGTAATTTTGAACCCAATCCAGAAGACAAGGGAACTCCTAGATCAGGTATTGGAAAAAGGTCTCGTGGAGGTCTTTTTGATGGAACTAACCCGCATTTGCGTTACATGGAGAGGTAGACCACGAGAACCTCTTAGGGTTCGCCTGACGGCAAGGGAACTCTAATCCATGATCCGTTTACCACTGAGGATATTTCACGTCAGTACTGTGGTCGGTGCAAGCCGGATGCAGAATTCGTATGAATCAGTCATCGCCAGGATCGAACCCCGGTTCACCTCATTGGGAGGCGAACGCTCTATCCCCTGAGCCATCGCGGCTCAACTACAGGCTTTAGAAAGTAGATGGATGGCCATTTAATTGTTTCTTCCCCATCACCATCAAGCTTTGCGTTTTATAAATTATACCCCAGAACAAATGGCATAGCTTTTAAGTTATTATTTAGGTTACTTCTTATATCTGAGAAAGGCGTAGAAATAAAAATAATGAGAAATTTTTTTTTCAAAAAAAAAAACACTATTTGAATTATCGAATATTAACACTTTGTTTTATTAAAAATGATTTAATAATTTATCGTAGTTTTCTTTCAGTAACATTTTTATTAGCCAGTGTGTTTTCTCTCATCATCATTTCTGGAGATCGATTGCTGGGCATCGTATTTCCCTTTTCCAGGCGATTGAGTAAAGGACAAGCAATTGTAATTGTTGTGGCAGCATGGGTGGCAGCTATGCTGTGTGCTTCGCCTACTGCCATCTGGCGTTGGCAGCAGAAACGCAAATGGAACGATTATGAAGAAGTAAATTTGTGTTTTTGTAATTCCCTAAAGATTATCAGCAAGAATATATCAGTGCACTTAATTTTATAAATTAGTTACTGATGTACTTAAGACCAAAATTTATTTGTCGCTTCCATGGGTAACTGATAAACATTCACAAAGCAAAACAATAAACATATTGTAAGTATGCATTGCATCTACACCAAATCTAGAGGAAGGTGGGTTAACACCGAGTAACTATGATTCGAAAGCTAAACTTTTTGACCTAAATATAACCAAGATATCCATTGTTGAGTTGTGTATATATCATTCTCGAAAAGTCATAAATGAACTACTTTTTTTATATCTCTGGGGGTACTAAATTGGAGATTGATCGTGCTCTAGATCATGTCAAAAATTACGAACTGTAGAATAAATGAATGGAGTATGAATTTGACCTCCCTGTAAAGCAGACTGACGTGCGTGTGACTGAATTCGCATTCTTGGTCATAGATGGCGCCACTGAAAAACAAGAAACGCACCGTACACCCTAAATTTGCTAGATTTCCCATAGCAGGCTTGCTGGCATTGGGAAGTGGCATAACAAACAACACTTTTTTTAATAAATTATTTTTTTTTTCTAGAAAAAGTCAAACCACCCGGTCTTACCTTACTAGTGGGGTAAACCAGGTACTTATGTAAACACTGAGAAATTTAGAAATACTGGAAATCCAGTGAAAAAGTAACTGAAATTCTATTTTATATGATAATTTAAGAAAATTATATTCATAATTTTCATGTACTGTAGTCAAGACTGGATTCAAGGACCGGAGGTATGAAGACAATTGTCACGGGTTCCCGGAATGCTGAGGGTCCCAATCAAAATTCCTTACAAAAATTTAATGTTTCACATTTATTTAATGTTTGTTTCTTTTAAAGAAAATGGTATTAAGGGATTTCTAAATTCCACAAAATAGGAAAATAAGGCTTTTTGTAATTTGGAAAAGGGCCCGTAAAATCTTAGTTTAGCCTTGAATGTAGTTATCTTCCTCCTCCGCTGCACTGCAACTTTGGTAGGCCCAGCATAGACACAAATCAAGAGGGAGGGGCTACCCAGTCCCGTCTTACCCCGCTAGCAGAGATTATCGAAACGAAACAGAATTGTTTTACTATTGGGATAAATACTTATTGTTTGTTATTGTATTGCTAATAAGCTTGACTAAAAATAATTTTTATCGCTGCAATGACCTATATATAAATAAAGAGAGCTTAAAAACAAGAGAACATTAAAGAGTTGACATAGTAAAACAAAATTCTTAACTACACAGAAGCCGTGAATTAATCAACAACTATACGTCAATAAGGTAGGTTCTTTTTCTTGACAAGTAGAATGAAATTCAGAGTTTGTTCGTTAGAAATCAGAACTAATTTCGCCAAAAAACAAGATACACGTACCCGCTTTTACCGTATTCTCTCCTACTATACTTTTAAAATATTTAGCACCTTTTTTATTATTATTATTTATTCGAGAATTAGTTTTTTTTACTGTTGAATGCAAGGGTATAATTGAATTTTCAAACTTTTTGGATTTTTTTAAAAAAGAATGTTAAAAACACTATAACTAACTTCTGCTCGAAATAAGGGGCGTTGTTTTTATGTTTATTCAATTTAATTGTATCTCGCAATCAATAGTGTAATTTGGTGATTGGAGTTTTGTTTCAAGTAAGCTTTTGTGCATACTATTCTTACATATTTGTCTTGTTTTTATTGTTCTGTATTTGCTTTATGTATTTTATATTTTGTATTGTATTCTCTTCCTGGACTTTGGTAAAACCTTTGGGGAACAGAGAGAGCAATTTTAGACTTTTGTCGTGCTCTCTCGATAGAAAAGGTTTTGCTTTTATGACTTCCGGAGCTAGTACCCCCTGAAGACGTCAGCTTCGGTTGTCATATTTATCCTTTTATTTCATATCACATTGTTTCTTTTATAACTAACTAGCTAATAAATTACATTAATGGCTGATATATAAGTTGCATTAATAACAGACATATAGGTTGTATTAATAACTCTTGTAATTCATTTATTACTTAACAGTGTAAAAGTTATTGCCATAAGGTGTTGATTTTACTTTAAGCTGTCAATGTAAATTCCAAATTTTAGAAGACAAATATGTCCTCTATCAAAAAAATCTTATCTGGATATTCGTCTACTGTTTTGTCGAAAAATATTTGCGTCACAAAAATAAATAGGTCCAAAATTTGCATTTCTTGAAACATTCTATTTGCAGATATGGTGCAACGAAAATGGATTTCTGCTGAAGTACTATTGGTTGATGATTCTCATACTTCTAGTATACATGCCTTTGACCGTCATGGCTGTGGCGTATACAGCTATTATTCTTCAATTAGAAAAATACGAACACCAGCTTTTCCTGCGAGAACATCCCCTGAAAATGAAATACAGGAAAAAAGTAAGAGCTTATTGCTGATTCTTGATCATTTTTAATGTAATACCATGAATTGAAATTGTTTTAGTTTTGGTGTATCTAATCATGATAATTCTGCACAAAATTTCTATCCATTCACTGATGCATGGAAAAAGTGTTTGTGTAACTATTATACATCAAAATAACTTAATAAGTCATTTTAAAATACATTTTTCGGTATACATTTTACGTTTTCGATATTTTAAATTCTTAGTTGTTATCTGAAATTCGTGCCTAGTTTACTCTGATTTAGCAGTAGTCAACTTCATTAGATTAAAAAATTAAGGTAGAAGAGTCTAATGTTTAAGATAGAATGTAAGGTAGAATGTTTCACGCTTTTCAAAGAAACACCCATTATGTAGACAAATACGTAATGTATAAAGTTAACTGTTAACCAAAGAGAATTCCTATCGTTCAAGTTGTAACCGTCCTTATAACCAAAACATGAACATTTACGGCATTTTTGTTCAACATCAAAAGATACCGCGTTCTAACCCTGAATGAAGGCTGGGATTTTCTTTCTAGTGAAGAAGCAAGTAAGAACATCATTACGCAATAGAAAAGGTTGACAGAAAATTAATGGCCACAGAGACAAGACAGTTATAAGAGGCAAATGTTCTGAAAACGGAACTACTGAGACCCCACCCATAATGTGTTGTCTATTTTAATCAGAGTCAGGATAGACCCAATGATACTAAACTAATTCTCAAAAGCATTCAAGTATACAGCAGCTGTTGTTGGCGCGATAACTATTGGGAAGTTACAACTATTGAAATGTTGGCAATTATTATAGAACTTAGGTTGAAGTTTCATATGTTATGAGTTAGTTTGTCAAATGTTTTCGTGGATTTTACAATAATTATATTATGTCTAGTATTGTATTGTACTTGTAATGTAACTAACACTACAATAACACAACGCCAATTCAGTAGTATGTATGACATGTTAACTCGTTTCTATCTTGGGGTACCTTTTGATAGATGAAGGTTGATAACGTCGGCAATCCAGCCCCCACATTGGTGACCGTGGACGATATTTGAACACGCTACCTGGACTAACACGCCCACTTCGATATGAACAAGCCTACGTCGATGGATGGTGCATATTTAACAGTTAACTTGATATTTTTGACTACGGCATTGTTTTTCTAGCACAGTCTTGATCACACACCACTGGAACTTATAAACACTTGACTGCTAATAGCAACACAGGAGCTATCACGTTCACCACCGTGAACTTAATACAACTTTCACGATCAGCCCTCAAAGTTCGGTGAGCTTAATGCAGCTCTCTCGGTCTTTTGCGAAACGGCTATGAATCAACTAGTGATATCCATTCATCGAATCCTATCCTAAATGAAATTCTGATGGGGGAATAATATAGTGTAACTACCATTACAAAAATACAATTCCAAATTACTAGTATATAAGATGTGTTAACTCTTTTATATCTTGGGGAACGTTATGATAGATGAAGGCTGACAACGTCGGTAATCCAACTCTCATGCTCTTTTCTTTGATCTAACTATCGAAAAATGAAATTTTTTATTTCTTCATTCTTTTTTTTTTGTTTTTTTTTTTAATATTTTACTGTGTTGTTTCCTTTAAAATTTTTAGCAGCGCAACCACAAAATAATACAGCATCACAATTCTTTTAAAAAAATTATCCTCATGACAACACAATAGAAGGTCTTATTAGCATCCTCTAATATGCATCTAATTATAAGAAAATTATTAAACATAAAATAAGGTACGGATAAGCACATAATATTTGACACCGTTACGTCCGCAATTAAGATTTTGACGTTTTATGAACGCCTTGCATGAAACATATGTAGTTAATTCATCATCATCAATGGCTCGACAGCCCAGGGTGGGCCTTGGCCTTCTCAAGAAGTTTTTTTTCAGGCTAACCTTTTTTTTGCTAGTGTTCTCCAATTTTTTGTTTTTAAGACCAAAAGGTCTTTCTCCAGGCCATCTATTGCGTAGTTAATTAGAAATAGAAAAACGGTGATGTTCTTATAGTTTTATTTTATCATGTAACAGAGTTGATCACGCGAGCTATTTGTAAAACAATCGAAAAGAATGTCTCAAAAATTTATTACCTTTCAAGTAAAAATATTCCCATTTTAATGTGTAATTTTAAACAAACGGAATAATTTTAGTAACATTTTCTTATTATTCATAATTTATAGGTGATAAAAGTTCTCTTCATGTACGTCCTAAATTACCTCGCCTTCTGGGTCCTCTTTCAAATTGTCGTATTGTATCGTTATTTCAAGGCACCTCAGCAAGAAGTAAGCACATTTCAGCTTTAAAAAAATAATATTTCAATTTAAATATTGCGCAAATCATTTTTTTTTTATTTCTTGTTTCTTATGGTTTATGAAAACGACTCATATAATTTGTGAATTAATCTCTTTCAGCTTGCACCATGGTATAGGAAAATCTATTTTCCCGCCCATGTTCTAACATATGCACAAAGTGCGATTAATCCCATCATCTACGGTGCATGCAACGAAAGCTTCAGAAAAGCATTTCGCATAACATTCCGTCGCTGTTTTTTCAAGAAAAACAAAGTGTCTCCTACTCCTCCTATTTATATTCATTCTCCTCACAGAAACATTCGACCAGCCAATAAACAAATTGAGGTACGTTTTCTGTTAAAATTAATATGAATATAATAAATAAAACAAGCTTAATGACCTAACAGGCAATGGCTGGGCATTTAATAAATAAAATTTTTCTGTATATATAAAGGTAGGATCACAATGGTCCCTGACGGCAATGTCTCAGTGTATAATTTCTAGTGCGCATGTCCAAAAGTGGTGTTTCAACTCACCTGATGGACAAACGTACTCCGACGTCAAAATCTACATCATTAATCTATTCTGCGCATTCTCAGAAATAGCAATTTTCTGGGACTCAGCATTCAGCGCACACTATGAACTAATCCTAAGTATTTTATTTTTATTTTATAGCTGTCGTTGAACGGCCGACACACTTTTTGGGTTTACGACTACCAATGTTCAACTCCGTAGCCTTGTAATTTTGAGCCCAATCCAGAAGACAAAGGAACTGTATCCTGGATCAAGTATTGAGAGAAATTTGCCTTAGTGGCGGACTTTTTTATGGAACCAATTCGCATTTGCGTTGCATGGAGAGGAAGACCTTGAGAACCTCCCTTGATTAGCCTGGCGGAAAAGGGACTCTAAGCCAGGATCCTTCTACCTATGAGGATAATTCACGACAGCACTATGGGCGGTGTAAGCCGGAGGCGGATTCGTATCGACCAGCCCTCGATGGGATTCGAACCCGATTCACCTCATTGGAAGGTGAACACTCTGTCCCCGGAGCCATCGAGGCCTCAATCCTAAGTATTGGCGTAAATAGGTAGACTATCTAGCCATTAATGACCGGACACCCCTTGAAAGGCAGGTGGACTCGTCCTGGCGGAATAAATATGCAACCTGTGGTGGGGGGAAGACCATTCGTAAGCAGGAGACGGCCATACGAGCGTTAACAGTGAAAATGAGTGGACGGTGAGAGCTGAATGAGGAGGAAAAGGGCATGATCATAGGCTCCCATCGATTTGGTCATTCCATACGTGCCATCTCCGACAAGTTTCAGATACATCCGTCAACAGTTGGTGACGTCGTGTTGAAATGGGAACGAAAGGGAGTGATAAAACCGCAGTCCCGACCCGGCAAGCCCAAAATAATGTCCGACAGGGATCGACGATCTCTTCGACGTGCAGTGAAGGCAAACCAACAAATGTCGTTGGACACTGTCGCTACCAGCATCCGGGCTGCATCTGGCAGTGTTGCCAATACACGTACCATTCGTCGGGAGCTGATTGCAAAAGGATTCCATGGACGAGCAGCAGCACATAAGCCAAACATCTCTCCATCAAACGCCCGCCACCGATTTCAGTGCTGCAGAGCACGTCGCCAGTGGACAGTAGAGCAATGGAAAAGCGTTATGTGGAGTGATGAGTCACGCTACATGTTGTGGCACTCTGATGGACGGGTGTGGACCTGGCGAATGCCCACAGAACGGTACCTACCGGAGTGCATTGTCCCCACTGTGAAGTTCGGCGGTGGAGGAATTATGGTGTGGTCCTGTTTTTCATAGTTTGGCCTTCAACCCTTGGTGTTAGTGCGTGGAACCCTGAACGCAGAAGGGTATAGAGACATCCTGGACAATTCGGCGCTTCCCACCCTGTGGCAACAGTTCGGTAATGGCCCGTTTGTGTTTCAATACGATAACGCTGCCATTCATGAAGCACATGCCATCACTGACTGGTTTGATGAAATGGGGGTGCAAGAACTTGACTGGCCATCCCAAAGAACCGACATCAATCCAATTGAGCATCTCTGGGATGAGTTGGAGCGCCGGTTGAGGGCCAGACCACAACGCCCCAAAACCACCACTCAACTCTTCGCCATGTTACAGGAGAAATGGCGGGCAATACCTTCCGCCGTGTACCAACACCTAGTGGATAGCCTTCCTAGAAGGGTTAAAGCTGTGATTCGGGAGCGTGGCGACCCTGCGCCCTACTGACTTGATACTAGCACCTCATGCATCCGAAATGAGAGGTGTCCGGTCATTAATGGCCAGATAGTGTATGTGTATATCCGGGCCACACTTTTCGATACCCACTTAGATGTCCCTGTAAAAGCGAATGACTTGTAAAGGGACAAAAAAAATCAATTTCAATCACTACCCTTAATATGTATTTTTAAAATCCTTGCAAAAAATGTGGTAAAAAAAATATGCGTATTACGCATCGTAAACTAATATTCAAATAGGTAAAAAAGACAAATGCTACAGAAATCTCTTAAATCAATGCTGAAGAAGAATTAATAAATATCAAAACAAGTTTGATTTCTGGGTGAAAGTTAGCGCTGCAAAGTTAATACTGTACCAGCGCTGCAAATAACAAAATGTTTCTTTTTTTAAAGTTCAATTTTGATTGGTATCCTATATATTGCAGGAGAATGGGGGTGAACAGCAAGCACCAAGCACACAAGAAACTGAGTTGAAGGAGACGCCAAACAAATCCACCGAGACACTCATCAGAAATCATCACACCAAATAATTATTTTATCAATGTCAAAATTACCCTGACTTGTTTTAGTTTACTGACTGATATTGAAATTTCTTTAGGAATTTTCCATTCGATAGTTCTGAAAAATTTCTGTTACTTTTGTTGTTAAAAAATTGGAACCGGTTATATGTCCTACATTCGGTTGTCCGACAGCTCAAATCCTCGATTCCATTTTTCGGACAGCTCATTTACCCGATAGGTACGTTTTCCCAAATTTACATTTGCTCAACATTTTATTTTCCCTACATGTATATTTGCCCGAGAGAGCAAGCATGCAAGAGAAATAAATATAGAATTTTTTTGTCGGCAAACGTTTTAACCCTCTTAAATAACGCTTGCAATCTTTTAAGCAATACTTGGAACCTTCCAGAATTATAGTTAATTCTGGGTAGCATTATAGGGTAGAGAATGCACTGTTGAACTAATGATAGTTGTTGGGCAAAGTATAGTGCTGCTTTGAGGAGAACTCCTCCAGACAGAAAGTCTGAGCCTGCTTGCTGCTATGGTAACAAGCGAGAGCACATTTCTGAAGGGGGTGAAATGGAAAGAAGATGTCGATTGGTTTACTCACGACGACCTACGCTAAGGTTAAAAAAAAATTATTCACCCCACACCCCTATTCGAAGTGACCTTACCTCGTAACCATAGTACCCGCCACGACGAGAGACGGGTGTCTCGAAGAGTTCTCCTGAGAGCCGCACTATAACCTATCTGGCAAACGTACCTGTGGGGAAAATAAGCTGTCGTGCCAAACGGGTAAACGAAGTCGAGCAATAGAGCTGTCCAGCAATCAATTGTCGAGGAAATGTATTAGACCTTCAGAAATGTTTACTTTTGTTAAATCATGATTTGTTGAATTTGTCTTCACTCTGTCCTTTTCCAAGACCTATTTGCATTAGATATTTATATGTATACAGTAATTACTCTTTATAGAAATACTCTGTGAGAATTACTGTCCGTACCTATTTTTCATTAAATAACAAATGAAAATTCAAAATATCAGGAAAAGTGCGTATTTTAAAAAGACAAGCATTAAATTAATACAAGGGTTAAATGAAATATAAATATAGCGCTTGATAAGGTGATTTGTCTAGAATTATGGACAGTTTCTTTCTTGTTCGATGCTGTATAAGAGCTTAATTATATAGTAGTGTATGCCGAAAAATTCAAAGCATCATTAATCTCTAGAGGTAGTGGAGAAAAGTTTATAACGGCACTAAGAAGTATGCAAAATCCTTTTAAAATTAAATTGATATCTACTGTCTAGTTATGTGCCCAAAAGTTGCAAAAAATTAGCATTAAAATGCTTCATTTGTACAAAATACTGTATATGTTAATATCTTAGCCACTCTAACGCTACCAAAGTTTGTTCATTATATGCTAATTTTATATAATATATATCACACTTACTTCTTTTTGATGATATCCAAGTACAATTGATTAATACACTAATTTCGGTGATGTTTATCTAGTAGAAAATATTAACTTATAATTATATAATTTTTTACATAGTCATTAATAAATTGTTAATTACAAGTGCTATCAAAATCCATCAAATAGTTGATAATTTTTCCGCACTACAACTTAAAGATATAATTTTTATTCTTCTTTTTTAAACATTTTTAGACTAGCTTTTAGAGTTTTCAATCCATGTCGACAGAAGATATCAACTCTAGCTATAAGATTTTGCATACTCCTAAATGACAATAGTTGACAATTTTTCCGCACTACTATTTAAAGACATAAAATATTTTTATTTTTTTCATCCTACTCATATAGATTTGCCATATATCAAATGTAACTATATCTTGCAATTTATTTTAGCTGCATAATGACTTTTTACTTTTTTATAACATTGTATTATTTTTCTTAATTTGTATTGTTTAAAAACAAATAAATAAAAATTTTGCTTAATAATTTTATATTATATTATTATAAGTGGAGTTGAACAGCTTACCCAATCTTGAAATTACGTTTATCAATGTTTAACTCCGAAGCCTTGTAATTTTGAACCCAACCCAGAAGATGAGGGAACTCTTGGATCAAGCATTGGAGCAATAAACTAGTATTCGTGAAGGACTTTCTAATAGAACTGATCTACATTTGCGCTACGTGGAGAGGTAAACCATGAAAACCATTATCACTCATGATTAAGCCCAATGAACACTTATCTTTTTAAATACGTCTACAAATTTCATTTTCTTATTTGGTAATGTGTTTATTATTATGACTCTAAATGCTGAAGCAACGTTTCAGGAAAAGGAAAAGCCTTCTTAGTACATGAACGTATTTATCCAATACCAATAATTGATATTATTTTGTAATTTGAAAATTAATTATTTCCATTTTAAGTTTAATGTTCTCTCATGTTAAAGTGAGAAACCTTGATTATGTTTTTACGATTTTACAACCTTTCCTCTAAAATGAATTTAGAATACAAAAATTGTTCAGTACATTTTTATGACCTGTATCGATGCAGGTTATAAAAAGATGCATTATACATACTCGTGTAAAAAAAAACTTTTAGAATTTGAAGAAAGATGTAATTTTCATGCAAAGAAATAGGCACATAAAAAGATTCCTTTGTAAGTAAGTTTTTTTAAGATTTTGAAAGCTTCCAAACTACTGTACATAACTAAACATCTCAAAAAAAAATAATAAAACGTTCCAAATTTTATAACTAGTTCCTCGACAAGAAGCCGATGCAGTGCACTTCGATTTTCTTCAAAAACAAATAATCATTTGACAACCGACTTATCCAAAAATTGAGTTTATAATTTCCATTTCCGTGAGAAGTCAAAATTCTTCTCATCAAAATTTTATATCATTTTAGTTAAAAAAAAATTTAAACCGAAATGATTAAAACAAAATAAATTTAAGAATTATTTTATTCGATTAATGATTTTCAGAAACTTAGGGTACATTCTTATTAGATCTAGTTTGACCATTCTGCCTAAAATGCACCAAACAGATCTTCTATTTCTTAATGCACACTTAATATAAATTTTTGTTTTGATAAAAAGTAACAAAAGAAAACACAGTCACAGAAAGTTAGCATAAAAATAAAAAGTTTCTTTTCAAAACATTTAACTTAACACAAAATCATTTGTTTATTAAAAAAAGAGAAGGGAATGTTTGAGTACTCTAACTTAGCTTTTTGGCTGATCTTAGCTCACTCCAAAATGTTCAGACGCGGCAGTTCGAGGAAACGAAAAAGTTTAGTAAGAGGTATTCCATACTTCCGTTTTTGTTGTAAACAAACCATTTTGTGTTGAATTAAATTGTTGCGAAAACAAGCATTTAATTTAATACTAAATATTTTCCGACATTCCACTGACTGTATTTTTTATCGTAACTTTTTCATGAAATCAAAAATTTATATGAAATATTCATTTAGAAATTAGGAATCTTATTAGTACTTTTTAAGCAGAAAGGTCAAACCAGATCTAGTAAGAATGTTACTTAAGTTTCTAAGAATCGTTAATTGAGTTTGATTATTCTTTAAAATTATGATTTTTCCCGTTGTTTGCTTATCTGACAGAATTATTTAAAATATTGCTAAAAGAATTATTATTAAATAAAGAATACTAGCTTTACATTGAAATTATGAACTAAATAGTTTGAAATGTCAGCAGCCAAACGATTATTCATGTTTCAAAAGTTCAAGGAATTTGGAGCTCGCAGCAAAATCTCCATTTAAGCAATTCACCAATATCTCCATTTTCTCTTAAGATTAAAATCTTTTAAACCTTTTCGACTGTTTTCGAACGAAAGCTTCAACTCAAACAATTCGACCATTATTAAAATGTTTGTGAAGAAGCTGAAAATTAAAAAAATAAATAAATAAATAGTTTGTAAGAACATAACTTGTAAAACCAGCAATCATTATAAAATACCAAACGATTTTTTTCCCTTCTCTTCTTTGAAGAATAATTTAAAACTGTGTTTTATTTCAAGTGCGTATATCAACTTACTATACAACGTCATGAATAAAATTGAAATTCTCCTATTACTTATAATTGGTTATGTTTTGAAGTACCGAACGCATGCTGGTGTATATAATAGGAAGACTAGTAAGTACTCTGAACTGAGTGGGTTTTTTTCATTTATTTTAAATTTAGAAACTATTCCATTTGACTATCGTTGATATATAGCTTGAATTATATCAATCGAATTTTGGTTTTAGTCTAGTATTTACAATTGAATTGTAAATTGTCCTAATTGAAATGCACTTTCTTTTATGAAAAATTAATTTTCATAACATTTGCTGAAGAGCAAATTAAAACTTTTAGTGAAGTGTGAAGAACTTAATAAATTTTTCATCAAATTTTCTTTGTGGTTTAATAACTTGACAAATGACATAGCCTAACTGATAAAAATGAGGCATACTTTTGAAAATATAAATTTTCATTGATTTACACACACGTAGAATATTTTCACAAAAAATATCTAAACTCTTTGTTGTCATGATATGATTTACAAAAATAATCAGTATTTTGAACAATTTAGTTACATACCCGCATATATAACTAGTAAAACACCACAATTGTTTTAAATTGATAATTTTTATTACTAATTTACTTATAAGCAATTTTCTCAGCCTTAAAATTTTTTAATTAAGAATTTTGATTTATATAGGTACTTTTTAAAAATCTTCAGCCTACATTTTATTAATAAATTGTAAAATATCAAGCAAAACATGCTAAACACCGAGGGGAGATATTTTTTTCAAAATGATATAAATCCACCTCAGCTTTTCTTAAAATGCTAAGTAGATTTAAAATAGAGATAATACGAATTTCAGAAGCACTAATTCGATTACCCTATGTCCTGACTAATGTATACTAGAAGTATATTTTTTAGTAACGTTCAGTTTATTTATTTGCTCTATTTTGTGCAGTTTTTCTTGAGATACGCATACACTGTTAAAATCTACAATTAACACATTTCCTGTTGGTTGATTGTGGTTTCTGTGGAAATCTATTCATATTTATGAAAATCACTGATATATATTTATATTTCACTAATTTAAGACAAGAGTAACTATTCTAAGGTTTGAGGATATCTTAGACATTGATCGCTATGAAATAAATAGGCTAAATGCTATAACTTGTTTCTTATGTAAATTTACAAAACTTTTAAATCAAAACTTAAGGAATGACATTAAAACATGAGCCTAAATTAATAAATTATTTATTACTAGGAGTTATTGTTATGTTCGAAGGCTTTAAGACTTGGGGAGATAATTCCTTCTGAGTCACCATACGGGGTTTTGGAAAACCAGTCACATGTAAAAAGAATCTGGTAATTAAATCTCTGTTTATGTGCATCTTTAATTCGTAGTCCCAAATCAATATCCTTGTAAGTTCGTTGCGACAAGGTCTGTAAGCAGGCCAAGGGCGCTCCAACATGAGAGCTGCTTCCAATGCGTCCATAATTTTGTACATTTTTGGTGATGCATACGAAGTGTACCAATTCACATATTTCTTCAATTCTGGGAAATAATTTTCTCCATAAAGGCGTATGATAGTGTCATTCTCTGAGGCCATTGCGGATTCGATGCTTTTACCTATTGATTTACTACTCGTTAGTTCAGTACTGCAAAAAGAAAAAAAAAGCATTACTTTATTCAATTGTATTAAATTGATATAAAAATCCGTTCTTCATAAAGTTAAAACCACTTTTAAATACAAATATATCACATGAAATAAACATACAAACATAACGGTTGCTCTAAGGAAGCATAGTCTTCGGTGTCAAAACGCAAAGATGAAAAGTAAGTTACAGCACATTAACAATGAATAATATATTCACCGATTTGGATGAATAACACTATAAAATTAACGATAAAAATAACGAATAATTTTACGTAAAAGAAAACAATAATATTCAGAAACTAAACGTAAGGAAATTAAGTTAATATGTAGGGTGTTGTTGTGAAATGACGAACATATTTACATTTTTACACCATCTGTTGTTGTTGTTTTTTTCATTAATAACTTATTTTGAATTTTTAAATGCTTCCTTTTTTCGTATTGATTATATTTGATTACATGGAATATACTTACTCAAATAGCTCTGGTTCTATTGAAATTACTCGAACGCCCCATTCATCCAGTTCTTGCCGTATGCTGTCATTGAATCCAGCTACAGCAAATTTGCTCATCACATAAGGAGAGGCATGTGGTACAGAGATTCGACCTGTAAATAACGCGTTGGCGTTATTCATTTATTTTGCATAAATCCATATAAAATAAAGTTAAAAAAAAATTGGGAAACACATTCAGAATAAAATGATCAAAATTGTGATTTACTTTTTCAAAAAGGATCGAATATTGAACTGATTTTCGAAAACTTATGTTCTGTTTTGTTCTTGTCATATCCTGGCACGCGTTCAATTTTTTTTTAATTCTATGACATTCAGATTTTCTGATTCATATGTCATATTGCATCCCATATCACAGATAAATGAAAAAGAAAATACAATTGAGTAATATTTGTCGCAATGTGCGAAAACTTAGTGAGCCAGAGCGTGACCCTTTGAAACAGAAAGCAGCCAGCACTGACATCCCATTTAAAATTTTGAGCATAAAGTAAAAAAGTCCTGCCTGTGGATACACCATATAAAAAACCGTGTATAGTCCTATGATGGTGTATTCGAGAAATTGTGAACTCATCTGAGAATCACATTCTATTCATTCATTCTATTCATTCAGTCATTCTATTCATTCATTTATTCATTCTATTCATTCTATTCATTCATTCTATTCATTCATTCTATTCATTCATTCTATTCATTCATTCTATTCATTCCTCTCAGTATACTTACCTTTGTGTTTTTGTTTTACTATTATTTCATTGTATTCGCAATTTTTGTAAGAAACTATAATATGTATAATAATTTTAATGAAAAGTATTATTTCCTATAAATTTGTATTATCATTATCTAAGAAAGAAGATTTTTAAAAACAATACCTAAAATACTGGTTAAGTTCACAATTCTTCCTTTGGACTCTCTCAACAATGGCAGAAAAGTCTTGGTCATTCTTACTACACCCAAAGCATTCACGTCAAGGCATTCCTTGTAATCATCCATACTCGAAAAGTCTACAGAAAATCCTTTCTGAATTCCTGCGTTGTTGACAACTGCCCACAGCTCTGAAAAATTTAATTATTATTATAAACTGTAAGAATCTTTTTTTTAAAAAAAAATTTCTTTTATTTTGCAATACCTAATGTAGATATTAATATAATGCGATTTCAAATCCGTGAATGTGTTTTTTGAGAAAGATTTAATCCTTTATAAACCTAAATTAAGTATTTGGAGCATAAAGCGAATAAAAAATCGTGTGGTGTAACAAATCCATTACAGATTTTCATTTATGTGTGGTATTACAAATACACATTAATTTATAAACAGCAGTTTTAGATACCTTTTCTTGTAGATTTAGAAGTATGAATTCAATTTTAAATTTATGTGAGGTAAATATATAAGATAAATATATATATTAGAAAGAATTTATGTAATGTTAAAATTTATAAAAAAAAATTATTATATTAAAATTTATTTAAGTATAAACATTTTAAACATTTGGTATTAATTTATTTATTTTTGTATATTTCAAAAGAATGTAATATTTAATCACTCACAGAACAATATATCGTCGGTTATGATCATCATCTGGTGCTAGAAGAAACCATTACCTAAAAACTTTGAACAAAACATCTCAAAATCACGTATTCCAAACTGGCTCAAACAAAATCCTGTGAACCAGTGAACCAATTTATGGGAAATATTATGCAATATTAAAATAAATCCACTTATTTAAAATAAAACACAAAAATCCCACAACCGCATTTTCAAAACTGGCTGACAAAATATCCTTGGAATGTTAAGTTACACGAAATTTGAGCACAATTTATTTATTTATCGGGAAGGATAACTATATATCTTCATGTATTAAAAATTTGTTGTTGTTGCATGAAATTTTTTAATGTTTTTATGTTAAGTACGTATTCTCCTTCTTTAATCTGAATTTGAAGCATTTGACTCGCGATCATTTTTTTTAAAAATAAATTTTGGTAAATGATGATTCAGAGATGGGTTTCAAAATAATAAAAAAATATGTCAGTTCTTGTCAACATCGTAGAGAAAAAATTCATTGCATAGTTTTCCTGGAAAGTGATTCCTCGAAATATACCTTAGTAGGCTCGATTATAGTATATAATATATTCGAAATATATTTAACTATTTTTAAGGCCCTGGTAAAATGTTATTGAACGTAATACAGGGTGGTTTATTTGGACAGTTGTATAACTGTTGGAAAAACGTTTCAAATAATTGCAACGCGAGTATTATAACTGATGCGAAACATTACTTGTTTTCCCCAAGTTTTTAAGAACAAAATCCAATGCTTCTTTTACGCTTTCTTCTTGCCTGACATCCAACTTGAAAACTTGCAAATTCTTTGAAGTATCTTTGTTGAGTTCCGTTGCGCCCGTCCCAGATGGATGTAAACAGCTTGCAAAAACTTTGAAACCTTGAGTGGCCAGATTTCTTGCAAGAATGTTTCCGAGTCCTTTGTCACAGCCTTAGAAACAAGAAATCGCCATAAAGTATTCAAAATTAGTGAAGAATAAAGAGGACATTTTTAACAAATAAAATATTTAATTTTATCCCATAAAATGCGAAAAATTACTCGATTTGAAATTTTTAAGTTGTAAAAGAATGGTTATTAACGCACTTTAAAAAGTAAATACTATCGAAAAATTTTAGCTCTGAGTAAATACATGCAAACAGAATTTATTTTATTCAAAATTTAAATTTGTTAAAAGCCATTGTTTAACCAAATCTTTAAGCCAAACATAATTTATAGTTATCTTAACGCAATAAGATTTTAAATTTTCTTTAATGGCTCAATTAATAGCGAACTCAATAGATTTAATTAGGCCAATGCTCCTTGTGAATCATTCATAGGCTAAAAACTCTTTTTACTCATTTATGGAAGAATTTCATTAAAAAATACCGTGATATTACAAAACAAAATATTGTTAATCGAATTAACACATTTCAATATCGAACAGTATATCCATACGCATTGAAACAAAAAGCTATTTTGATATATTTACACACTCTGTAGCACGCAAAAATGAAGTTTTTAAAGGGAAAGGAGAATATAAGTGAATATTTTAGAAATATAAGTGATGAGCGTTTAGTTTAGTTGTGGCTTTGCATTCAACAGATTAAAAAAACTTATTTACGCGTCATTCCTATAGCGGCTCAACGCCTTTGCTTAGTATTCCGAAATTATAATAAGTAACAAAAACTTTTTTTCAAATTTTGAAGTTACGCTTAGTCAACCAAAAGTTTTAAATGCTAAAATCCTTCCAATATTTAAAACACAAAAAAATAATGAAATTTCTATTTTCTACCTAAATAAAACTTCTAATTCGTATGAAATTCATTTAAATGCAATTAAAAATTCCATCTTTATTTTTTATTTTTTTAAGAGAAAGAGAGAACCTTTGATTGTTCATTATTTGGTTCGCAATTTGACTATTCCAAGGATTTTGGTTTATATAAAGGCTCAATCACATTTTTAATTGTAATAAAAGTAAGTTATGAAAGATTGCTCTGAGCTTTTAAAAAATTATTACATTGAAACAAAACTTACCTGTAATTAAAACAGCTTTGCCACTGGGATCTACTTTTCTACCTGAATATCCCCATTTTAACAGCAAAGAATGGGATCCTAATTTTGTAATAACGATGGAAATAGCATATAATTAATGCACTTTTTCTTCACAAATTAAGGAAACTTAAAGTACTTCTATAAAATTGAGAAAGATTTCTATACATAATGATATAAAATAAAATAAAAAGCTTAACATCCTTAATCAAAACAATTGTAATAAGAAATTATTAAATTTAAAAAGAAATCAATGACGTTAGGTAAAAAGTTGATCATTGAATAAAAAATGATAAAACTGGAAGCATCTCAAAATCTTCTTAGCAGGGTTTTCGAAGCACGAAACAGAGTTTCGATGTCTTAAATTCCTGTCAAAAATTGTTTCAGCTCTGTAAGAATTACATTTTAATTGAAAAGAAAAAAGAGAAAGAATTATATTTTAGCAACGTGGAACAACAACAACAAAAAAAACGAACGAAAGAAAGAATAAGATTTTGTTTGCTTATCTGCTTGTTTAACTGTCAAAATTATGTTTAAAAGGCGCAACACCATTCATTTTAAATTAAGTCGATACTGCTAGGTTTGCGAGAAAATGCAAAATTCTCGCTTAATTATTTAAAAATTAGCTTTAAAACAATTTTTTAACGCATTTTTAATGCAAAATATATTCAGTGAAAAATTACACCCTGCCATCTACCATACTTTTCAAGAAAAAAGAAATAAAGTAAAAAAAAATAAGAATTCTCATTTGTGCATTATCTTTCGCCTTAGCTTTGAAATTCAGATGGGTGATGTTCTCTTAATAAGTATATTTATTTTAAAGTAAATGGTATACAAATTAAAATTGGTATACAAATTATCTAGATAAAAAAAAACTTTATTTTCTTATCTTCTGTGCCTAGGTTATAAAAAATTTGCATGCAAGGGTTTACATTATTATATATTATACTCATTTTAAGTAAACAAAATTATATATTGCAATTAAATTACATATAATATTAAATTTATTTTAAATTCTAACCAGTTGTTTGCTTTATTGAAGGAATCACTTGTCTTCCTTATAAAATTTGGTACTTACGTATTATCGCAACCAGGTTGGCGCGATTTGTAAATTTGAGTAAGAAAGTATGAATAGAAAGAAAATGTGCATTTATTAATTACAGATAATTTTTAATACAGTTTCTTACATTATTTTATTCATAAAACATAATATATTATTATGTTATAATAATATATTATGATAATATAATAACCTATTAAATATTATAATATATTATAATAAAATAATATATTTTATAATATTTTATTCATATAACACGTAGGGTTGCAGTAAGTAGGGTCGCCAAATTTGGCGATTTATGCGAATTTTGGCCTGGTTGCGATAATACGTAAGTACCTAAAATTTTTACTATTTAAGCAGCACTTTAAAAGTTTATTACGAAGTAACTTTTTTTTTATTTATTTTTCTTAATATGATTACTTATCTGTATAAAGTAGCTATTCAACTTGGAGCTATATTGTATTACTAAATCTTTTACTAAGAAATTTTTGATAGGTGAAACTGATTAGCTCGCCAAAAATGGGGAATTGGTGAAATTGTAACTAGAACACTTTTACAAATACTTTTATATGTCATTCCCGATGAAATAAATAGTTGAATAATTTTAATTAGAAACTAAATGCAAAGTTGAACAACAAGCAAATGAATTTTCTTTAAATCTTTTAGAATTCGTTACATAGCAATACAAATTGTATTAATTATAAGGAAAGTTAAAAAATAAATTTCGCATCCAAAATAAATCTTTAAATAGATAAATTTTATTACCATCTTTAACTTTCATATGCGCTGCTTTTAACAAAGCTAAATATTTTTGAATATTCATATTTTTAGTTTTAAACATCAATCGAACTTCGGCAACGTATAAATAAAGTAATTGTTTCATGTCCCTGTTAATAAAATATTTCAGTCATGCTTGTCTAAGCCTTATGAAATTAATTCCACCAATAAGAATTCATTACAAAGCGGGTTTTTTCCCCCTAACTCCTCCAGCGCCTGACTCGCGTGCTGGCAGTCCCTGTGGTTACGAAAATAAGTTAATTCGAATAGGAATTAGTACTTCAATTCTCCCTTGTTAAAAATGGTTATTCTATCGTTTCCTTGACAGTGGAAAATCTTAGATTTTCAATCTGGAGGAGTTCTCGTGATAGCTAGTCAGTATACTCTAAAATAAACTGGTGTATCTCAACGCCAAAAATGGTGTCAACTACTTTACATCAAAACTCTCTTAGATCTAAGTGATTCACTATGCCAAGAGCCAAGGATGAGTTCCTGGTAGTGTGGAAAACCAGAAATTTTCTTTTACACTACTTGGTGTAATGTAGCCGCCTTTGTTTTCATTATTCATTAACACTAAAATTTATGATTATAGTAAGATATAATGCACAAGTGAGTCAGTAAAATTATTTTTATGACATACTACAAAGCACGAATTATTAATTTAGGAGATGCATGTACGCAATATTTAAAATAAAATTAGTTTTTAAATCAAAAATACACATAGCGTACACATACTGAGAAAATATTAATATGAATTCAGAGAGAGAATATTAATATAAATTCGGCTTAATATGAATTTGTTATTCATAATTAATAATGCAAAACATTAAAAAAAAAAACACCAAACTCTTATTTTCTACCAAATTTATTTTAAAACGCACAATATTTTTAACAAACACTTTCATTTTACATCTCTTTCATTAACACGTTTAGGTTTTATACCACCACTCATCAAAATCTTCATTAGAACATTTTGATAATTCGGTGGAAGTACCTCATACACATGCATTAAAATTTTATTCCAGAACGTTCCGCAAGGTCTGTATACCACGTCTGGATACACTGAACTAATGGCTGAGTCTATACACTCAATGACCAGATGGATATCAGTCGATGCCTTTTGCATAAGAACTTTCATATCTTGTTTGTGGGCTTCAAAGTATTCCTTCCCATAATCTTCTAAAATATCCGCATCTAATGAACCAACCATTATATCAACTAAGCGATCGATATGCTCCGCATTTATCAAATTAGTCCTAGAATGAAAAAGAAAAAGCTTTGAATAGCAAACATAGCAGCAACTCATTTCATGTATACAGTTTATTTCACTAGATATTAAAAACCATTATTTACGAACGAAAATTAGATAAAGTTAGTTGTAAATTTAAAATGTTGTCAAAACGCATCCAACAGTTGAACATTTAAACAGAAAAAAATACAATAACTTTATTAAATAATACTTATTATATATTTTTACCACTTTAATATGTTATTTTCTTTTCAAAAAATATGTGCATGTATAAATTTATATGGTCCTAACTCTGAGTGTTTTAATACAGATAAATCTAGAAGAAATCGCCAATTCATGTCAAAAATCACGTGCTCTGGTTGAACCCTATAAACTTGTACCGTGATTAATAGTTGGTTTTGAAAGAATTTGTTGAGTTTTCGAAACAGTTATATAGAAATTTCGAAATCTAAAAAGTAGCTTTTCTGTAAAATAAATTATGTATAGATGAAGATTTCAGGCTTAAATGTTTAATGAATTATAATTTCGAAAAATAAAGTTAATCTTACTGAAATTTGTCATTGGCTAAACTTAGTATTTGCCCGAAACTTATTCCATGCTACTATTGTATTTACTTAGTTAAAAACACTTCGATACGTTGATTTTCTGTCACTTTTCTTCAGATAACGCGTTTAAGTTTTCATGAATCGCTGAACTCAGCAGACTTCAGTACTATAATGCTTTTTTTAAAAATGATATTTACAAATATATCACATTTTGCACTATCAACTTGCGATAACTGAAAAAACTTACCGAAAAAAGTCTGGTTCAATAGAAATTACAGGGACTTCCCAAACATTAAGCTCGTGTCTTAAGCTATCATTGAATCCAACAGCTGCAAACTTGCTTGTCACATATGGGGACATTCCTGGAAATGCTATTCTTCCTAAAAAATAATTCAACGTTATTGATCAACTATAACTTGCTTAAACGTTCGGTATTGTTACATAAAATAAATCTTTCCCGCAACAGCCCATTGAGGGCCAAGGGGGGTCAAGGGTCAGGAAGGTTAAATCTCCCCAATTTCATGGCTAGCGTTGGCAATGTGATCAGCATTGCTCACCACCAGCTTTTAATTTCTAGGCGGAGTGATTGCAATCGATCTAAAGTTAGGTGTACTCCATGTCACCACCCGGAATCGAACCCTATACATTTCTTTTACTTTCGTGTCATTGCAATATTGTTCTTAGCGCGTCCATAAAAGTATTCAGATCACAATATACACAGTCCAGTCACATTAATGTGACCACCACCTACTTTCGACTTCAACGTGAAATAAGCAATCACAGAAGGCAGGTGGCAGCACATTACAGTGGAGTGTATATAAAGGATGTTCTAGGGCAGTGTTTCCCAAAGTGTGGTACGCGTACCCCCAGGGGTACGGGAACAGTTTAGCGAGGGTACGTGGAAAATATT